TCTAGGGCAGGTCTAGTGATAATGAACTCCGTCAGCTTTTGCTTCTCTGAGAAAGTGTTGCTTTCTCCCATACTCTTTGGACAGTTTTGCCAGATAAAGGATTCTTGGTTGCCTTTTTTTTTGTTTCGAACACTTTGAGTTAGGCCAACTTTCTAATGGCCTTGGAAACTTTTCTGATGAGAAGTCTGATAATCTTATTGAGGATCCCTTATGTGTGATGCATTTCTTTTCTCTTGCTACCTTCAGGATTCTCTCTTTATCTTTGGCTTTTGAAAGTTTGATTATAATGTGTCTTTGTGTGGGTCTCCTTGAGTTCTCTTTCTTGGAGTTTGTTGAACTTCTTAGCTGTTTATATTCATGTATTACATCCCATCTGTGGAGTTATCAAGCTTTATTTCATCAAATTTTCTCTTCCCCTTTCTCTCTCTCTTCTTTTTCTGGGATTTCCACAACACATATGTTAGTCTCTGTTCTCTTTCCTTTGATCTCTCTTTTCTTTCTGTTCCTCTGCTTGGTAATTTCCACTGTCCAATATTCAAGTTCACTGATTCTTCTGCCAGCTCAACTCTGCCTTGTTTCATTTACTGTACTTTTCAGCCTCAGAACGTTTTTGTTTCCTTTTAGGTTTTGTCTTCTTATTGATATTTCCATTTCCTTCCTACACAATCTCCTTGAATTTCCCTACATCTTCCTTTAGTTCTTTGAGCATCTTTAAGATGGTTGTTTTGACATCTTTGTCTAGTAGCACTGCCGTCAGGTTTTTTTTAGGCACGGTTCCTGTTGATTTCATTTGGGATAGCCATACTTTCTTGTGTTGTTTGTATGGCTGTGATTGCTGTTATTGAAGCCTGAACTTTTGAATCTAGTAAAGTGGTTAACTCTGGAAATTGGATTCTCTCCCTTTGCCAGAGTTTGCTGGCTTTTGTTCCTATCTTTCTTTTGCTGTTTTTGGTATTTTGATTATTGTAGGCTATGTCTGTGCCAAGGATCAGCCTGGGGTGTTAACTGTAGGTCTTCTCTGGTCTCTTCTGAGCCTGCACCTTTGCCTAGGCAAATCACTTTGGAATTTTCCCCGTATATGCAGTTGCTTTTTATGTCCTAATCTTTAATGTCTGGCTCTCAAAAGGAGAAAAAGAGAAAAATAAAAAGGAGGATGAGGTGGAGAAAGGGTGTCAGCCTTTTAAATGCCCCACTTCAGCTGGAGGGGGAGGGCTTGCAACAGTTTAGGAGGGTGCAAATCAGTGGCTGCCGCCCAGTTTGCAGTTCTGTGATCAGCATCAGCAATCAGGACCAGAGCCCAGATCCGCAAAGTCTGGAGGACAGGGTCCTTTTTGCCTGCCTTGGCTCCCTGTGGAAGCTGTGCTGCTGCCAAGGGGTGTGGACCAGGCAACGGCTCCTTGTGCCAAGACCCGAAATTGACCCAAATTAGTCACAGTTTACCATCCAAGCCTTCCCCTGAAGTTCCTAGCCTTCATTTGACTCCTGAGTTCCACAGTAATCACATTAGACCGATTCTGCTGGTGTAGTAGTTGTTCAGAAGGGAAGGCAGATTTCTGGTGCTTCATACTCTGCCATCTTCTTAGGATTTGTTTCCTCTAATCCTCCGAAAGGCCCTGCCCAGCACCCGGTTTAGTCAGAACAGCCCGCCGTTCTCCTCAGTCTCTTCAGCTTGTGCCCTTCGCTCTCTGACTGTCTCCTTTTCCTCTGTCTTCTAATTCAGTGGTTTGTATTTCGTTTGTTCGTTTGTTTTTCACCTTTTGATAATCCCAGGTTCTTTTAGGAATTTGAAGAAAAACATCTATGGACTGTCTGCCTGGAAAAATCCATGTCTGCAGAATCACCCGACATGAGCAGACAATTCAGAGATCCATAGTGCCCTGAAACCCCACCATGGGAGCCCCTGTTATAAAGATGCATGTCTGTCATCTTTCCTTGACACTGACAGGCCAGGTGAAGTGAGGACAGATTTGAGTCAATTAAATATACATCTGTGTATTTCTCTGTGTGGGTCTGTGTGTGTGTTTGAAGCCTGGTTTCTCTTCAAGTGTTTATAGTAATAAGACGTGATATATATATATATATACATATATGCCAGTCGTGATGACAGTCATTTTGTAAACGGACAGTCTTTTAGGTCTGTTTTACACTATAAAGCATTTATTGCCATATTAATTACTGGTATACAAAAAGTACGGTAAAAGTAAGAAGCAGTCAGTCCCTTTAAGGGGGTTAAATGTTCCTTTAGCAAGTGTGTTCAGATTCTAAATTTTGGTAATAATCTGTTTTATGGAGGGGATACCAGGATATACTTTACGATGGCCATGAATTAGAGGGTCAACACTTATAAGGTTGAAAATTTTAAAAACAAAACAAATAATGAAATACCAGTGTTCTGTTATGAATGTTTCTGGAGTGGGCCCTTGCAGAATTGACAAATGCTACCTGATCCTCGCGCTGAGCAGGGTGTACAGCCTGGTAGGTGATGCAGACTTTCCTTGGCCACATTGACCGAGAAGCAGTGCCCACGAAGGATCGTTCAACGGTTCCACGTCCAGAGCAGACAACCGACATATCCATCTTAAACAGTATTTTTTAATTTTATTTTATTTAGGGTTGAAGTCACCAATTGACTCTTCCAGTGAAGCCAAGTAAGTGGAAATAATCTTGAGTAACTGCTAACAGGAGTTGAATTTAAACTGACAGCTTAAGAATAAAAGAATCAGATCTCCCAAACTTTCACGCAGCCTGGCAGATTGGATTTTCGTGTGGAACTGTGTACAGTTAAATCATGGTCTGTGCTTGTAGTCAGTGCTGCTTTCTTTTAAGTGGTCCTGTTTATTTAAACAGCTTGAAAATGAGAAGTTGTTTTGCTCACTCAGTCGGGGTTTATTGTAAAACTCGGATGCCAGAGAAATAAAGTGCAGCATTGTTTTTGTGCTGTGAGTGCGTGAGCTGGGGAAGGCCTGGTCATGGTGCTTTTTCCCTTCCGCCCAGACAAGGAAAGCTCTGATGGTCAACAGGTGACATGGGTGAATGTCTGGCGTTGACACTGGTGGATGTTTGGCATTATGACAGCCTTGATGATGTTGCTGTAAAAGGTGGCAAACACAGTAGTGCCGTGTGTACATTTTCGGTCTTACTTCTTAGCTGTGATAAAAATAATAATAATAATAATAATGCCAGAAAGAAACCAAAAAAAGCTGGAGAGAAAAGTGGGCACTGTGTTTTGTCAGTAGATGGCATTTGTCATAAAAAGAGTCAGTTTGACAACCATGGGAAGGCGTTGTTTTGCCCAGCTCTGTGCAGTCCGGCTTCGTGGCTGCAGGCTGGCCCCCAGAGCACCCAGGGGCAGCGGCCTCGCATCCCCTGCTGTGGGAGTCACATGATCCACGTGGCGCAGGCAGCCAGCAGCCCTGGAGTCAGGGCCCCATCGCCCAGACAGACCCTTCCAGCGAGGCTGGGCCCCATCTGGATCGGCAGACAAGGAAACGAGGGGCCCCGGAGGGACCACAGGACTTGCTGAAGATCAGGCTCAGGCAGCTGACTAGGACACGATTTTCTTACAAAAGTGAGAATTTAACCATAGAAAAAGTATTAGGAAAGTATCCTAATCTACTAGTTTAGCTTCTCTTTTAACTGTGACTTAAATGCTTCTCAATGCAGCTTAGAATCCTTCTAAGATCATCTTCGGATCCTCCCAGAGCCCCCACGCCCCCTGCCCCTGGGTTGGGCCAAGGCCTCTTCCTCCTCCGTCATCTCCTGCCTCTCTCTTCCTGTAGCTCTGGTTATATTTTGCACAAATTATCTGGTCATGTTTTTGTTTATAAATCCTCCTTGTACATTCATCTTTATGGTTTATTTTGTTTCATTCTTTTTTGTAGTTTATAGGAACAGAATAACTGTAAGCAACGTCACCCCCCTCCCCCATATTTGTGATAGTTTAAAAAAAAATTTTTTATTGAAGTGTAGTTGATTTACAGTGTTAGTTTTAGGAGTACGACAAAGTGATTCAGTTATACATTTTTTTCAGATTCTTTTCCATTGTATGTTATTACATGAAACTGAATATAGTTCTGTGTGCTATACAGTAGGTCCTTGTTGTTTATCTGTTTTATATATAAAAGTGTGTGTCTGTTAATCCTCAACCCCGAATTTATCCCTCCCGACCCTTTCCCCTTTGGTAACCATAGTTTGTTTTCTACGTCTGTGAGTCTGTTTTTGGTTTGTAAATAGAATTTGTATCATTTTCTTAGATCCCATATATGAATGATGTCATATGATATCTGCCTTTCTCTTTCTCAGTTACTTCACTTAGTACGATGACCTCTAGGTCCATCTATGTTGCTGCAAATGGCATTATTTCATTCTTTTTCTATGGCTGAGTAGGGTGCTCTTTGTTAATTATTATGGTGAGTCTGGCCAGTGGTGTTTCCAGGATGTTGTGCTAAGTTAGAGCATATAGGCTATGGGAACCTAAATTGTCTGACCGTGGGAAACTGTTCTGAACCAGACGGACACTACTGAACAAGCTTGGGTGGGGTGGGGAGCCTGCACTGTTGTTGTCAGTGTGTTGACCACCTGGAGATAAGCTAGGACCCTTTGTCTACTAGTGGCTAAAACATTATAGGAATGAGAATGGAATAAACTTTATGAACCCTAAACCCCACCCCTAGACAATTAGGAACTAGTAAAATACACAAGAACCTGAAGCGTAAATGTCAGTGAAATTTCAAGTTTGATTCCTTTTTTTTAACATTTCATTTTCCTATTAGAAAATATATTAAACAAGTGTAGAGAATCATACTTGAACATCTGTGGACTCACTACAAAGCTTCATTAAACTTTAACTTTTTGATATTTCATCTTTTTCCTTTCCTACCCAGAGGTCACTTACGAATTTGGCGTTTATTACTCAGAGGTTCTAAATTTGACTCTTTGGGGCCTCCTCCCATGCGAGGGCCTCTGCGTAATGGGGCAGGAGCTGTGTCTTGTAGCAGTAAAATCATAGTTTTGGAGCCACTCTGAGACTCATAAAGATTCGAAATGTGGCAGCAAGATCAGACTGCAGAGCCAGGGTTCCCAGATCCCAGGTTCCTGACTAGTTGGGATTTCCCCAAGGCACGAGGAGGGACGAGGCCCCTGAAAGTCACTCATCAAGGTGAACCTCAAACAGACACTGCTGGAGGAAATGTATGGTTTAGGGGTAATGCTTTCAAACACTTTGTGATTGTAACCTGCAATACCGAAGACATTTTGCATGATGACCTTGACACGCACACATGTACACACACACACACACACACACAGACTCAGATACCTGCTCACACACATACACACACGGAACACCTACCTCTGAATAAAAACTGATGGTGAGATAGTACCTATTCTTCCTTTGTTAGCTGCACTGCAATACAGTCCATTTTGGTTTTTTTTTTTTTTTTACAAAAGCTGTTTTGTTCCAATAAATTGGAACAAAATTTCATAGGCCATTAATAGATAGGAACCCAGAGTTAAAACAACAACAGCCACTCCCGGTTTGGAGCACTGTGCTTGTTTCATGGAGCAAAAGGTTTTTAAAGGGTCTATTTAGTTTAACTCTGCTGAACATCTTTATAAATAGCTTTTTTTCTACTGCTGACCTGAGCTTAAAGATTTATGCCACAATTTACTAATAACAAATCTCCTGCAAAACTAAGCAGGATGCAGAGCTCTTTGGGGGTTCAGCTGCCCCTGTGTCCTGTTACTTCTCCTCGTCGGAGCTCCCGACCCTCTCCAGCCTTTGCTTCCAGGCAGCCTGTCTCGACTAAGTAAACAGAGCTCGAACACAGTGACTTAACTATACTTTATAAATTCATGATTGTTGAGCCACAAAATCAACCTTTCCAAATAAAACTGAGCGTAAGTCAAACTGCCAGGAGAAAAAGAACAGCTATCGGGCCCTTAACTCTCCTTTTCACCCTGGGTTCCCTCTCCCTGTACGATGCTAACTGAAGTCTGTTGGAGGAATCCAGTGATATGTGTTGCTTTGTGTTTCCTGAAGGTCACTGATTTGGGGGGAACTGGGCTGCCATCCTCCTCACAGAGCTGCCTGCTGGTGATCACGACTTAAGGAGCGGGGCCATTGATAGAGCGCCTTTGTTCAAAGCCGGGCATGGAATTGTATTCAGAAAGGTGCAGCCGTCCCTCCAGGGAAGCAGAGGAGAAAATGAGATTTAATGCGTCTTAAACAAGCTCTTGTTGAAGACGATGGAGCAAGATTGATTCCAAGATACTGAGATGAGTCAGCTTGCTTCAAAACGTTACCAACAGCCACTTTAAACATTAATTAGGTAGCTGGTTTCTAAGATCTGGAAGAAGCGGAGGGTTTTGTTTAAGCCAGCTGTTTCACCTCAGAGGAAGGGCATCTCTAGCTCAGGACTTGTAAATGGGCCTTTTGGATAACTGGGAAAGAATTTGTCCTTTGGGGGAGAGGGCAACGAAGAATGCAAGTGATTCTCAGGGAGAAGGACGAATGTGACAGCAGTGCCCTTTTGTGTACGTGTTGGTCTGTGACTTTGTGTAAGTTCTAGAACTTTTTGGTCTTATGACTCCTTTGTACTTTTAGGAATTATTGAGAACTCCAAAGAACCTTTGCCAATGTGGCTTATATATATATATTTTTCCCCCAACCATTTTAGGAATTAAAACTGAGAAACTTGAAAGTGTTTGCTGATTCATTAAAAGATGGTAATAATCCCATTATATAGTAATATAAGCATTTTTATTTAAAAAAACTAGATCTTTCCCCCAAATAGTGAAAAGGGTGTTACCGTTTTGTAATTTTGCACATCTCTTTCATGCCTGGTTTCATAGCTGACACTTGGATTCCCACGTCTGCTCCTGCACACAGTCTGCTGTGATGTGTTGTTTGGGTTGAAGTACATGAGGAGAATCTTGCACACACAGGTGTGTAGCTGGAAAAGAGAGGGCCCTGCAGCCGCCAGGAAGGGGCTCGGGGACTCCCACACTTGGAGAACCACTGTCCTGTAAAGTTGTTTGGAAGAATTTATGAGTGGTGAGCTTATTAGCGATCCTGATTTTTCTCTTTTTCATTTCTGTACATTTTGTACAGTGAGGATGGATCACTTGTGCAAACTGTAAATGAGGAAGAGGAAGAAGCGTAAGTCTGTTGAGGAAAGATCACAAAGGCCCAGGAAACCCAGGCAGAAACGTTTATACTTGGGAAACCAGGGAGCCACTGTGATTTCTCTTACAGGAAAATGGCTTGTTAAACCTTCTATTGGGGAGTAAGTGGATTAGAATTGGCAGAGAGGAGCAGCTTCGGAGGTGATGCAGTAATCAGGGGGAGAGGTGAGGTGGGGCGGGGCTCAGATATTGGCAGAAAAGGAAAGGAAGTTTCAAAACCTGAAAGCCATTTCAGAGGCAGAATTACCAGGACTTACATATATGGAATAAAGGAGAGGAAACAATCAGAGATAACTAAGGGTTTTCAAGTCCGAAACATTTGAAGAATATTTTCTCCCTTACATCCAACCTTTAACCTATTCTGAAAATTATCCTAATTAACTGAAGTCATATATATATATTTTGTTTGTTTGTTTCAGAGTTAGCCAGCCCATTCCAGGGCTTTAGGAGAAAGTCAACACACTTCCCAGCCGGAATCGATCCCAATTATTTCCAGAAGAAAGGGAAGACCTATGATGCCCCTGGAGAGTTGGTACCTATGACGTCCCAGGAGGCGTCCTTGCTCACTTCCTGGGGGCCCCGCAGGCAGTGAAGGGCAGTGGGTCCAGTTCCCCCGTGCGCTGGACGCCTGTGGTCCTCCTCGTATGCACTCCAGCACCCCCATCAGCTCCCTCTTCTCCTTCACCAGCCCAGCAGTGAAGAGACTGCTTGGCTGGAAGCAAGGAGATGAAGAGGAAAAGTGGGCGGAGAAGGCGGTGGACTCTCTAGTGAAGAAGTTAAAGAAGAAGAAAGGAGCCATGGATGAGCTGGAGAGGGCCCTCAGCTGCCCGGGGCAGCCCAGCAAGTGCGTGACGATTCCCCGCTCCCTGGACGGGCGGCTGCAGGTGTCCCACCGCAAGGGTTTGCCCCACGTAATTTACTGCCGGGTGTGGCGTTGGCCCGACCTCCAGTCTCACCACGAGCTGAAGCCGCTGGAGTGCTGTGAGTTCCCTTTCGGCTCCAAGCAGAAGGAGGTGTGCATTAACCCCTACCACTACCGCCGGGTGGAGACGCCAGGTGGGTTTTCTTCATGGGGTCATGCTTGTCATAAAAATTAAGGGGGCGTGTCCCCGCCGATGGAGCGCGATGGAGCGCCACTGGGATAAGGACCCCCCTCCCTGGAAGAGGGGGAGGTTCATTTTGGAGGAACTAATGCAAAATGTTGTGGTCAGAAAAATCTGGACAGAAGCTGTTTCATTTCAGGATGTGTGTGAGTTTTGTGTGATTTTGAAAAGTGCAGTTTTGTTTTGATGTATTTTGGAGTCATCATCCAGTTCTTGGAAAGTCTCACTGTGGCCTTGACATGATCAACTATGAAAAACTAAACATCCACGTTCCCGTCCTCTCTCTCTGAACTCACCTGTACTGAATGAAACTGCTGCCACTCTCTCCGGGCTCAGGTAAGTGAAGGCAGCTCATCTCTGGGTCTGAAAACAGACCATGGAAGAGTTGCTGGAAATCTTTCCAAGACTGGAAACAGCGGTGGGTAAGGAAGATGGGCAGCTGTTCTTCGATATGACTTTAAATATAGGAAAGTATTGTTCCTAAAACTCTTCACACACCTCAGTGTGTGTATACATATATTTCATACTCACATACCCCCTTTTGGAGAAGTCTGGTGTTCGTCTGTGTTCCTCTGCACTGGCTATAACAATTTGGCTGCATTTCCCTTTGGATTGAGTGTTCCTGTGGCTACAGGGATGCAGTTTTTCTGGGAGCCTCCTCTCCCTGATTGGCCGTCTGCCCCGTTCCAGGAGACCAAAGGGCTGGCACACGAGATCTGGGAAGTGGCCCATGTCCATTAAGAGGCGGTTCTGTCTAGGAAGGTAGGCAGACAGTGGTGGGCATCCAGCCTGCTGCCTGGCTCCCGGGTTCAAGTAGCCTTACAGCAGTCCTGGGTAAGTCGTGCCCAGCCTGTAGCAGTCTTAGCTGGTGACCTTTCAGGGTCCCAAGTCTTGCCATCATGTTGTAAAACTGTTGTCAAGGAGATCACCTTCCTGAGTGCGGATGCTTCTAAAAGTCACATCATCCGGGATACAGGATGAGACTGTGGTGAAAAAGGCTCACGTTCTTGGTGAGCCTGATGTACCTTCCGCAGGTCACGTAGGTCTTTGTTTTCTTCCCTTCCTTCCTGTTTCTCTCTGGGCTTTATTTGCCGGCTTTAAAAAAAAAAAAAAGTCATTGATGTCTGAGGATTTCGCTAATTTATATTGCCTTCATCCTTTCTTCCTCGCCTCAATCTGTATTTTAGTTTATAGTTCACATTATTTTTTGGCAGTTCTGTTAGTTTCCGCTGTGCGATTTAGG